GCATGAATGTGGTTGCGCAGGTGCCTTTACTCTTTCCTGATTGATCATCCTTTACACACATGCCCTAGACTGGTATTCTGGCATCATAGGGTCACTCTACGTTTGGTTGTGTGAGGTGTTACTTCCTGTTGGCATGTTGTATTTTTGTTGGTTGCTCTTCTGTGTGTGCTGTGCACACCTGCCTCTAGTGAACGATATGGAGTTAAGATGTCCACCCTCAGCGGCACTTAGGTGCTTTGTACCCAAACAGCTCCCTTTGCATAGCTGTCCAGAGAAATGCATCAGCAATTCCTGAAATTTTTAACTCTCATTGATCATGCATATTTTGAGAGGTGAAAAATAACTTGACATGATTTCTCAAGGAAGGAAAGGAGAGAAGGAGGGAGGGAAGAGAGGGAAGGGAGGGAATGAAGAAGGAGAAAAGAAAGGTGGAAGGAAAGGAATGTACACTGTATGGGGCCATGTCCTCTCATTTTAAGCCCCCCATTGCAGTTCTGCTTTGTGGTCTGGGGGGCAGGGGAGGGGATCTCTCAACCTGCTGCTTTGCTTGAGTCAGACTCTCTTGGCTTTTGCCCCCTTGAGTAAGATAGCCAGCGACTTCTATGTGGCTCAACCTGATGCATATTTCTCTCTTGCCCTGTGTAAGTCCTCCTTCCTGGAATTCTTTCATGATGGGGCCTGAGGGATGCCCACCCCATACCCCGAGGTCCCCTCCTGTCTCCCTGGCCCACCAGCCCCCTGCACTGGTCTGAAGGGAGGGCTGGCCACCTCAGGAAGCACGCAGCACATGCGTTCAATCCACCTGCGATCCCTGCATGCTCCTCCTCCCTCGAGCATGCTCCTCCTCCCTCCGGACCTGTAGCTCCATTGCCCTGTGACTCCAGGTTCTTCAGCTGGTTCAAGCATCTGCCTTCCCTCACACCGCCTAGCTAGCAGCCCTCCCAAACGTACCCTGTCTGGATGCACTCCCCCATCCTGCCTGTCCCGAACTGTCCCTCCCCATCCTCCTAGGGTCCCTATGGGGGTGCCCCAGTCTTCCAGCTTTGTGGGGGAGGGGAGTGGGGAGATAGGGAGGGTGGCTAAAACTTGTTGGGAGAGGAAATACTTCCATTATTCTTCTGATGTCATATAATAAAAGGCTCAGACTTTTATTTTTTTATTCATTAGTGTCAATTAGTTGTATGTTAATTATATGTGCACTAAGTACCTGATCAGCCTCGCTCCCTCCCTTGCCCTCCCCCACCCCAGCTGGCCCACACCACTCCACAGCTCTGTTGTTCCATTTTCATTCCTATACATAAAACATTTGCCCAGCCACCCCCGGGGCTCTGCCCGGGGCAACAGAACCTCCTTGAACGTCATCAAAGTCTCATCACAATGCCAGGGGTGTGCGAGTCTCTTAGGAAGAACAGGAAGAATGAGGTGGCCCTGGTTCGGTCCCTTGCACACCGTGGCACGTCTAATGGGCAGTACTCACTATGACACAAGTGCCACGGGTCCCTCAGGGAACCATGAGTGACACACACTCTCTGTGAGCCCACCACGGACACAGGGTTTGCAGAACGTGTTTTGGAGGTGCAGTTAGTCAGAGTGGGAGGTCTGGGACCCACAGATATGGGAGTTCATTTGTGTATCTGCACACTGCTCCTTGCAGCCGTCATCACCCCCTTTCCTTCATCTCCTCCTCTCCTCCTCATCCTCCTCTTTCCCTCAGCTCAAGCAGCCCCCCACTACAGACAGACCTGCCAGGCCCCCGCTCAGCCCCCCCCATTGGTGCCCACCTGTGGGGACAACACTCAGACCACCAGCCCCTGCCCCTCCCTCACTACATTGGCCTTTGGGCTGCTCCTAGAACTCATCTGGCCCTTTCTTCCCCAGGGCCTTTGCACCTGCTGTCCTTTGGTTGTTCTTGGTGGACACAGATCATATTCTCTCATTACTCCACACACATATCTCCTGAGAGGCCTTTGGTGATGATTCTATTTCCACACACTACACTGTGGGCTCTTGAATTCCTTGTTCTGGGCTTTCCTGGTCTCCACTTCTCACGGTGTTTGAGTTGGTACCCGCAGATTCTGTCTTAGGACAATGCAAACTCCCTCAGGGGGGAGACATTGACAGTGTCAGGCCTGGGCACACAGTAGGTGCTCTGTAGGGACCCTGCTTCTGGAACCCTCCTGCCTCCTGGGCCTATCTGAGCTCAGGGAGAGCTACACCCTGCCTCCAGGGTGGGGGAGGCCATCAGCCTGGGGTCGTCTTGATTGACACCTGTGGAGGGAGATGGCCCCGCCCCCAGTTGCCAGTCATGGGGTGGGCAGGGGAGGGGCCCAGCAGTTCCGGGAATGCCTGTCATCCTGGGCGCTCTGTCATCCTCAATGATTCAGCCTGAGGACCCCACCGCCGCGTGGGCAGGCGAGGCTGACCCGCCTGTCCTCTCCTCCTGGCTCTTCGGCATCGGATGTCAGAGCTCATTAGAGGCCCGGAAGCGCCATCTCTGCTCTCAGGGTGGTGACAGCGGAGAGGCACCAGCCAGGGCCTGACAGCGGCTGTCATCCTCCACAGTGACAGGCAGCGGCTGCCGGGGACGGGAGCCGAGCAGAGCGCCGGTGGATGCAGCCCAGAGTGCGGCCTTGGTGGCCGAGGGCCCCCCTGGAAATGCCCAGGCTGTGGCCATCTTCCCCCTCCCCCCCACTGCATCATCTGAGGGCACCGAGTGCATTGCTGCGGTGCCCTGTAAGTGATTTCTGCTTAGAGCAAAGTTCTCCTGAAAGAGCTCATCCTGTGGGCGTTTGGGCGAGTGCCTGCCATGTGTCCCTCTGCACAGCAGGGCGGCACAGCCCCTCCCGCCCTCCAGGCCGGCGTGGCCCTTCCATCAGGCCCTCGCCATCTCTGGCTGCTGGTGGCTACTGGTCCACTCTCTGTCCTCCTGGTTTTATCTCTTCCAGAAGAGTCAGCAAGGGGGAATCATGCAGCTGAGTGTCTAGGTCAGCTCAATATATTTGAGATTCATTAGTTCACGCTCCAGTGTCGGTCTGAAGTTGGTGCCTTTTTTATTTTAAAATGTTTTGCTGGTCCTAGGGCTTGAACTCAGGGCCTGGGCACTTTACCATGTGAGCCACAGCTCCACTTCTGGCTTTTTTTCTGAGTAGTTTATTGGAGATAGAGGCCTAAGGCCTTTCCTGCTTGGGCTGCCTTCAAACCACAATCCTCAAATCTCAGCCTCCTAAGTAGTTAGGATTACAGGCGTGAATCACAGTGACTGGCGAGTTTGTGCCTTTTAACTGCATAGCAATATTCCATCCAGTGAAATCTGGTTTGTTTCTTACTAGATGAAGGTTGTTTGGGTTTGTTTCTCACTTGGAGCAATTATGAATAAATGACCACATACCTGGTGCATGTAGGCTCTTGCGTGAACCTAGTTTGCATTTCTCTGGGTCAATATTGGGTAGTTTTCTGTGGGACTGCTGTCCATTCATCCATTCTTTGCTGAACTAAGTATTTCCAATCTCTACCCTTATTTAAAAAAATCAGTCCGCTGCTCTTATTTTTGGGTTTTGGAAAGTTTTGTGATTTTTGGATCAAGTACATTGATGGTACTAGAGTTTGAATTCAAGGCCTTGGGGTGGCTAGTCAGTGCTCAACCCATTGAGTTATGACTCTTCCCGGCTCTGCTGGATTATGTTCTTTATCTGATGTAGGATTTGTAAATGTTTCGTCTCTGCCAATGAATCGATCTGTCTTCACAGTGTCTTACCAAAAAAAAAAAAAAAGCTGGTTTTTGACAAGGTGCAATTTGCCAGTTACCTCTTTTGGGTCTAATTTATTTTGGGTTCTTTTTGGTTTGTTATTAGAACTTGAACTCAGGGCCTCATGTTCACTCAGCTTTCTTACTCATGGCTGGTGCTCTATCCCTTGAGCCATGTCTCCAGCCTGGCTTTTTGCAGGCTAATTGAAGATGAAATCCTGAAGACTTTTCTGTCCAGGCTGGCTTTGAACAGTGATTCTCTGGATCTCAGCCTCCTGAATAGTTAGGATTCACAGGTGTGAGTCACAGCAGCAGGCTTGAGTTTATCGTTATTTTTCCTGTTAGGGATGATGAATGCAGCTAGGGTTTTGGAGTTTGGCATATGAATGGACATCTTTGTTCTTGTCCAAGATCAGCCACCTTTCTCCATGGCCCTCTGCTTCCTGGTGCCGCACTGCTGGCGCTGATATTACTGCCCATTGGGAGGTGAGAGGGCACCTGCCTGACTTGTGGGTGGCTTCTGGCCCCTCCATGGGTGAAGAACACACCCTGGCTGGGGGAGGGGCCACATCTCAGGCAGGGCCTAGCTTTCCTCCATCAGCCACCTCACTAGGAGAAATGTCCCTGCTGGAGGGCGGTGACACACCCTGCAGTGGCACCTGTGGCTTTGGCCTTCTTGTCAGAGAAGCTGGTGCAGTGGCTGGCCAGGGCAGGCTCCTCGGGGTGTGTTTTGTCTCCCATGAGCTCAAATATGTGAGCCCACGTCTGCCATGCATTTCCTGAGTGAGAGCTTCCTGCTGGGTCTGTCCATAGTGATCTGATGCCGGCCACCCGTGGCTCACGCCTGTAATCCTAACTTCTCAGGAGGCTGAGATCTGAGGATCTGGGTTTGAAGCCAGCCAGGGCAGGAAAGTCCCTGAGACTCTTATCTCTAAGTAGCCACCAGAAAACCAGAGGAGGTGCTGGGGCTCAAAGTGGTAGTGTGCTAGCCTTCATCACAAAAGCTCAGGGACAGCATGTGGGCCCCGAGTTCAAGTCCTAGGACTGGCAAAAAGAAAAGAAAAAAGTGATCTGACAGGCCTTGCCCCCTGTCTGGAAGTGTGGGCCCGGGGTGGGAGGTGTGGAGTCCCGGATGGCCAAGGCCATGCTGTGGGGTTCAGGAGTGTGGGGTGGGGACCCGTGGGGTGGGAGACATCCGGGTCACCCTCTCCCTGCGCAGGTGCCCCGCTGCCCCGTGCCCCCCTCCCGTCCCGCGATGGCCAAGAGAGTCCTCATCATTGACCATGGCTCTGGCGTGGTGAAGGCGGGGCTGTCGGGCCTGAACGACCCCACCAGCGTCACCCCCAACATCGTGCACTACACCCCGTGCCGCGAGAATCCGGGCCCCAGCTCCGAGCGCAGGCGCGTGGGCCTGGGCATCAGCAGCCGGTACCCCAGGTCCTGGAGCTACCCGGTGCAGCGGGGCCGCATCTGCAACTGGGAAGGCGTGGAGCACATCTGGTCCTACCTCCTGAACTCCCTGGTGGACGACTTCCCCGTGCTGGTCACTGAGTCCCCGGTGAAGGAGTCCAAAGACTCGCAGAAGACGGCTGAGGTGAGGCCTGGAGGGCTGGGGGGGCGGGGCCGGGGTCAGGGGCGGGGCCAGCCCAGGGGCCGGGAGAGGCCTGGTGGGGCAGGGCTGGGAGTGGGCGGGGCCTGGGGCGGTGAGTGGGACATGGGCGTGGCCAGGGGCAGGGCGGGGCCAGGGGTAGGGCGGGGCTGGTGCTGTACCCGCCATAATGTCTATTGTTTCTGCCTGACTGCACCGACCCAGGGCCCAAGGAAAGAAATGGGAGTGGGGTGGGCGTGAAGGGGAGTATAGGTTGTTGGGTAATGGTAATGAAAGAAAGGCTTGGTGGAAAGTGAGGCGTTGGTTGTTCTGGAATTCCACGAATGTTGACCGATCATCTTTTGATGTCTTTCTTTTTATTGCCAGTGCTGGGGCTTGAACTGCGGGCCTGAGCTTTGTCCCTGAGCTTTTCCCATGCAAGGCTGGGGCTCTCCACTTCTGGTTTATTTGGTGGTCCATTGGAGAGTAGAGTCCCACAAACGTTTCTGCCCCGGCTCACTTGAACCCCGGTCCTTAGATCTCAGGCTTTTGAGTAGCTAGGGTGACAGCTGTGGGCCACTGTGCTGGCCTTGCGGCTGAGTTTTAGTTTAGAAGGTACGCTAGCTGTTCGGGGTGCTTATCGGGGTGAGGGGGAGAGGCCCCACTGTACCAGGCACAGGTACGGCCTCTCTCACCTGTATATCAGGGATGCAGGCTGCAGCAGAGCTGGAGGCTCAGGGAAGGGACGCTGTGGGGATCCAGGGGGAGAAAATCAGCCTGGGCACGTTTCCAAACCCTGAATGTCAGAATTTCAGTTTTATCTTGACATTTGGAAAGTTTTTGTGGGGAAAAAAAAAATAGAAACTTGGCTCATCCACCAGACAGTTGAGTGTCTTCTCTTCCTTTTCCCCCCTCCACGTTATGGGCCAGTGATGGCTTTGCCACCTCAGCTTCTTAGCAGAAGTTTCCCTGTCTCCCCTGTCCTCACGTAGCCCGGTAACCAGCCAGCCAGCTCTTCTCATCCTGTCATCATTCTGATTCACACAAGCCCCCTGAGGACAGCTTTGGCTTTTGCCTGGAATCTTCTAGAACCCCTACCCCCTCCTTACTCCCACAGTGTGGATATAAGGAGTTCACTGCCTGGCATCTTCAGGCACTGTGCCCTGAGGATGGTCCTCAAAGGCATCAGCTTGTCACTTCATTTCCAAGAGCTGAGCACACAGCCCAGTGTGTATGTGTGTGCGTGGGGGGGGGGGAGGGACAGGAGGGCCTGGGTCCCCTGTTGGGAAACAGTCCCGTGTTCCTTCTCCCCATTTTAGATCATGTTCGAGTCACTACAGGTGCCCCGTCTGCTGCTGGCCGACCAGCTGCAGATGTCCTTGTACTCATCGGGCCTGTTGACCGGCGTGGTGGCCGACTGTGGCTTTGGCCTCACTCGGGTACAGTCCTTCCAGTTAGGCTACCCCCTGGCCACCAGCTGCCTCACGGTGGAGCTGGGTGGGGAGGACCTCTGTGACTATCTCTTCAAGAGTCTCTTCAAAGACAAATGCGATCGCCAAAACGTGTTCCAGCTGGAAACAGTCCTAACCACGCAGAACAGCAAGTGCTACGTGCCCCATCATCTGCAAGAGGCCTTGCACTTCCACCAGGACCTGCCTGCCTGCTCTGACAAGGATTTCTACAAGCTCCCGGATGGCCAGGATGTGCAGCTGACCCCTGAGCAGATCCTGTCCCCTGAGATGTTCTTCAATCCGCACAAGTTTGGCCTGCCAGGGCCCGGCCTCCCTCAGGCCATCAAGGATGTAGTCAATGCCTGTGATTCCTCCAGCCGCGAGATGCTCCTGTCCTCCGTGATCCTCGGTGGTGGGAACACCCTGTACCCCTGCTTCGTCAGGCGCCTGCTCAATGACCTGGGCTCGCTCTACCCCAAGTTCCGTGGGATCAGTGTCACGGGGAATCCAAACAGGTATTTCAGCGTCTGGCTGGGTGCGTCCATTGTGGCCCATTTTTCCAGCTTTACGTCCCAGTGGATAACCAAAGAGGAGTATCTGGAGGGGAAAAAGCCTCGATCCAGCACCTGTGCCTCCCCCATGCCCCTCCCCAAATAACAACCAAGTGGGGTCATGGCAGTAAACTGGCCCGGGAAGTCAGAGCTCAGGGCAGATTTAGTTTCTAAGGTTTGATCTTGTGCCAAGAGAGGGATCTAACCCAAGGGAGGCCCCATGTGATGTGATGGTGTTCTGATTTTTCTAGATTGTTGTGTGCTGGGGTGGGTGTGGCCTTTTGCCACCTCCACACCTGTCCCTGAGTTTTACTCAGATCTTGGCTGAGTGGGGAAGGAAAGCCGGGCTTCCTGTAGGCTTCCCGTGGTTTTTAACTAGGGAGTTTGGGTTGGGGTGGGTGGGGAGAGCGGGAGTTTTTAGTCCTTGGGGCTCTTTGGGCCCCCCCCCCCAAGCTTTTCTGTGGTAGGTGATCTCGATTGATGTGCAAATAAAGCAGTTGTTTGAAAGCAGTGTTGGATGTTGCTGTGGCTGGGTAGGGTACCTTGACTGGGGAGGCCCAGGAAAGGGAATCTAAGAGGCAGAGGCAAGTCCTAGGAGGGGGAGGAGGGGTATGTGTCTGTGACTGGCGATTATCACTGAGCCAAGGGGACAATTTCTTCTGCTTCACGTTTTGCTTCTCCTTCCCAGGTGTTCTAACAAGCCTGTATGTTATAAATATATTCTAACACCTGGGATGTGTGGGGTACTGTGCTGAGCCATGGGGAACCCCAATACAAAAGAGATGAGACTTGTGTTCCCCAAACTACAGCCCTCTATGAGGACATAGAAATAATAAGTAAACATGCTCGTGTCCCTTAGATAAAACGGTAGAGCCAGGCACCGGTACTCAGCCTGGTAAGAAAGTCTGTGAGATGCCTTTACCACTTGAGCCGCACCTCCACATCCTCTTTCTAGTTCTTTAGATAAAGTCTTGTACTCTAGCCCAGGCTGACCTTGGACAATAAGCTTCCTACCTCCACCTCCTGCATAGCGGACTGGGATTACAGGCATGCATCACCATTCCTGGTGCAGAAGCATTAAAACAAAAAAATTTTTTTTTCTGTTTGTGGTTGTTTGAATCTGCAGAGGTGGAGGGTCGGCTGCCTGCCTCAGATGGTGATAAATGAAACAAATCAATGTAAAGAAGTGATGTGATCTGGGGCTGAAGGGGCTTCCTGTGATGGGCTGCACTGCCCTGAAGACCTCTGGAGACCATCCATAACAGAGTCCTCTCCCTCCTCAGCCTGCTGTGAGGCGACCTCTGGAGTCAGTGAGGCTAGGAGCAAGGGACTCGTGGCCAAATCAATGAATCTTGTTTTGTTTTCCTTCCTTCCTTCCTTCTTTCTTTCTCTCTCTCTCTCTCTCCTTTCTTCCTTCCGTCCTTCCTTTCCTTTCTCTTTCTCTTTTCTTTTCTGTCAGTTGTGGAGCTTGAACTCAATGCTTGGGCATTGTCCCTGAGATTGTTTGCTTAAGGCTAGCACTCTACCACTTGAGCCACAGTGCCACTTCTGGTTTGTCTGGTGGTTTATTGGAGATAAGAGTCTCATGGACTTTCCTGCCCAGCCTGGCTTTGAATGGCAATCTTCTGATCTCAGCCTCCTGAGTTGGTAGGATGACAGGTGTGAGGCACCAGTACCCAGCAAAGGTTTTTGTTTTCCTAACAAAATGGCAGTGCTGGGATTTGTATCCAGCCTCAGCTGTCAACCTGTGTGTGACCCAATGTTTCTGGAAGGGTCTCTTGGCAGCTTGGGGCTCAGGACTGGGGAGGATGATGGCTGAGGGTCTAAAACTTGAGGATTCCCCCAAGCTTCCAGGGTGAAGTTTGGAGGGGGCAGAGGTCACTTTGTATAGGAACCTGTGAACCATAGTCTCTCAGCCACAGACTTACCCATTCCCTTGAGCCACCTGCACCCCCCCCCAGGTGAAGGAGTGGAGGGTTTGGGGTATTGACCTTGTGCTGACACAGCTCAGCACCAACCTGGCTCAGGCACCAGTGTTGGAGTCAGACCTGAGCTCTAGGCCAGCCCTTCCCTAAATTGAGCTACCTGGAAGTCTCATGGGGTGGGCAGTGGCGTGCCATGTTCCCCCTTCCACAGCCCTGGGGCTGTGGGGTGCTAAGATGACGCAGGACCTGTCTCATTTGGAAAACTGTGGAATGCATGAAAAGATGATATGTGAAAATGCACATTTTGTGGTCTGACATCAGTCTCTTCTTAACCAGGAGCATTAATAGCAATAACAACCAGCACCATCTTACCTCTCCTTGAGGTGAGTCTGCATCATGGCACCAACTGCGCACTCTCTGAAATGACTTCTAGGTGTCCCTGCTCACACGTGAGAAGAGCAAAGCTCAGACCAGCTCCGCACGTGCTCACATTCGCACGGAAGTTCAAGCTAGTCATGAGTTTAAAGGTAGGCATGGGTTCAGAATTCCTGGAAATCTAGACTTAAAGTGGCTGAAGCAGACTTGTCTCCAGCAACACCGGCACAGCTCAGGGAATCGGAGTACATCACCCGAGACTCTCCTTGTATTCCCAGCCTCCCACCTTGAGTGTGGAGGTGTGGTGGGGCATGGTCACTAAATGGCTGCCACAGCTTTGCGCATCATCACCATGCTTCATAACCAAAGGCTGAAGGGAGTCTTTTCACATTAGGGAAGTGGTACATCAATGATATGAATCATTACTTAAAGAAAAAGAGGACCACAGGTATTGGGTAAACTGTCACACAGTGTGTTCTTTGGCAGAGGACTGATTTGAACCAAGGTCCACCCACTTGTTCATTGATCCTTCCCTGTACTCATTCAACCATCCATCCATCCATTCACCATCCACCAGTCTTACCATCCACTCACCCATCTATCCCTCCATTTCACCACCTACTCACCCATTATCCATCCATCTAACCATCTACTCACCCACTGCCCTCTCACCCACCCATACACCCACCCACCCACTTACCATCTGTGCATTCATCCCTCCATTCATTGGATACCTGTTTATCCATCCATCCATCATGGATCAATCCACCCACCCAGCTACCCACTCATCTATCCATCCATTCACCCACTTACTCATCCACCCACCAATTACCCATCCATCTAACCATCTACTCACCCATCCACTCACCCCCTCACCCACCCATCTAGTCATCACCCACCTATCATCCATCCATCCATTCCTTCATGTATTGCCAATCCATCTATCCATCCATCCATCCATTCCTTCACCTACTGCCAGTCCATCCATCTATCCATCCATCCGTCCATCCATTCCTTTGTCTACTGCCAATCCATCCACCCATCCATCCATCCATCCACCATCCATCCATCCATCCATCCATTCCTTCACCTACTGCCAGTCCATCCACCCATCCATCCATCTATCCATCCCTTTGTCTACTGCCAATCCATCCACCCCTCCATCCACCCATCCATCCATCCATCCTAAATCCCATATTTTCACTGACAGCACCAGTTGACTGTCAGCTTTCTGGGCCTTCTCTTCCCCCTTTTCCTCAGACCTAAGTGGTGATAATTCATGATTTTCCCCGGCCCGGGTGAAAGCTGGAGTGTTGAGAGAGCTAAGGCCCAGCACCAGCACCCTGGGCAGCCATCTTTGCACATAAGGCCTGGTACGTTGTGAACACCTGAGCTATGAAGGCAGAAACCTCAGAAATGAGTCCGAGGAGCTCAGGACCTGGAGGGGAAATAGGCAAGGGGTGTGCTCCTTATTTAGCTCTGGGCAACTGTTATTGCAAGTCTTTTTGTTATTGCAAGTCTTTTTTTTTTCATTTTATTCCAAATGTAACATTTAACCTTTCTGTTCAAGCATCAAATCTGGCTGCCTGGTGTATAATTACAAACTTTTCTTCCCTTTCTCTCCCCTCTCTCCCACCCTGAAAGCTTTTAAAATTCCCTCGCTGGGTACCATCGCTCCTCTCCGCTCTCCAATTAAATTAAAAATAGCAACTCTATGGGCTGTGCAGGGCCTCGAGCCCAAAGCAGCGCTGCCGGAGCACCAGGCCTGGTGGGGTGGCGCGTGGTGCCAGAGCCTGCCTGCCGGCTGTGGCACGGGCTGGCAGCTTCTCCGAGCTGGGGGAGGCCCTGCACCGTGAGGGGCCTGGGGCGGCCTGCCAGGAAGGCCAGGTGCGGCCGGCGGGCGGGAGGCAGGGTCCTGGCAGCTGGGTGGGGGCTGAGTGGGGCTGGCATGGGGGACAAAGGGAGAAGCCCCAGGCGGGCGGGCTGACCCTGGTGGGGAGCCGCACTGCTGCCAGTTCTCACTGCCGAAGCTGGGTCTGCCACCACGGCGCTTGGCCTCGCCTGGAGTCCGGAGGCCCGACTTCTCCGAGATGACCCCGACAGAAAGCTGTGGGCTCCGACGGTGTTGGAAACCAAGTCCGGGTTGGTGTCCAGGAACACGGGCACTGCCTCCCGCACGGCAGGCTCTGGATTCCTCTTTCCATCAGCAGATGGTGATTTGGATAGGCGTCTGGGCTTCCGAGCCAGCTTGCCTGGGCTGTGATCCCTGCTCTCTGCTGCTGCTTTCCGGCACTGATAAACGCCCTGTGCCTCAGTTTCCCAGCCTGTAATGAGGATGTACGGAAGAGGCCTAGAACGGCTTGGTTTTCATGATGACCATAGGTTTTATATGTCTTGGTGGTTGTGGGATTTGAACTGAAGGGCTCAACCTTGCTAAGCAGGATTTCTGCCACTTTAGTGACACTCTCAGCTCTTCTAGCTTCAGTTAATCTTTCAGATAGGAGTTTGCTTTTGTCTGGGCTGGCTCAGGTTGTGATTCTTTTAACCTAGGCCCCCCCTACAGCTGGGGTTCCAGGCTCACACCACCCTGCCCGGCTTATTGATTAAAATGTGATCTCACTAACTTGCTTTTTGCCTTGGCTGGCATTGAACCACCATCCTCCTGACCTCCAACTCTAGAGTAGCTGGGATTATAGGCATGAGCCACCACGCCTTGCCTCGTGGGCTTCGATGAGTTCACCTGTAAAAGGCAGGTGGAGGGCAGGGAAGTGGGATAGGGGTAGGGGCTCCATATGCACTACTGCTT